AAGAAAACCTATCTAAACAATCTTTGGTTACACACAGATCTTTAGCAATTACAAGAAAAGAGATTGCTAAAAAGAAGATCTTTTACTTAAGCTAGAAGAGGCTTGAAGTAAGAAAAGGATTGCAGAGAGATGCGCGCACTCTACAAAGAGAAGAAACACTTCTATTTATACCCAGTGCATTGAATAAACATTTACTGCAATATGGAAGGTTTAGAGTGCGTGGCAAGCCTTAAGAGGAAGGCTTGTCCTTTACTACAGTGAATAGTACAAAAGCACTATTCTTGAGCAGATATCCTTGCCTAAAGTTGGTGGACAAAGAGTCGATTAATCGGCTCCGTACCGTACTAACTTTTGCAAGGGTATGGGTTTGTCCTTTGTGTGCAAAAGGACAAGACAACAACAATCGTGCTAGGCAAGCTTCTTTTGATCGCTGAATGCTGGGATGACCTGGAGGTCTCATCATCATTCGTTGAAGCTAGAGCAGTCTTCACACATAGTTAGACAGGTTTGTAATCACTAAATACCGCTTCAGATCACGTACTCGGCAGTCTCTGATCTTCAGTTTCAGTCTTCGACGTTTGCTAAAGGATCTTTGGTGTGAGTGTTGTCTTCTTGAAGTATTGTTTGTCTCTGATGAATTTACAATGCAAGTTCTTCAGCGATCACTGAACATACTCAGTGATGATCGCTGGAACTGAAAATATAGAGACACAAATACAACATGAAAGGAAAAAGGGATTGTCATCAAATCACTGAGAGAGAGGATCAACAGAAACCTTATCATCTTTGTCATAGACATAGCATAAATTCTTGGAGAACTTCACTGTGTAGTCTTTATCACACAGCTGACTGATGTTGAGGAGGTTGTGCTTCAGTCCTTCAACATATGCAACAGGCTTGAATGTGGTTGCGCCATTGGTTAGTATACCAAAACCTCTGGTATATCCTTTTGCATTACCTCCAAAGGTCATGAAAGGTCCTCTTTCTTCCTTGAAGTTAATGAGCAGGGATTTGTCTTCGATCATGTGCCTTGAGCATCTACTATCGAGATACCATATGCCTTTAACTTCCTGCACAAAAATATAGTTTAAAAATGCTTTTGGTACCCATCTATTTGGGTCCAACAATGGTAGATGCTTCATCTACTGAAACTGAAGAACCAGCGTCAACAGATGGCTTCACTAAACCTGGAGAGGTTTTAGTGGAAATAGGAACAACCTCTGGCACTAGAGAGATAGAGTCAATGGGTGTCTTCACTAAGCCTGAAGAGGCTTTAGTGGTAGGAACTACAACACCTGATACTGAAGGCTTTGTATCAGTACTCATCTTTACTAAGCCTGTAGAGGAGGATCCAGTGGTTCTCTTCACCTTGGATGCTTTAGCAGCCTTAGTGGATGATTTTGCTTTGCTTGATTTCTCAGCCTTAGCTACTTTCTTTCCCTTGGCTGGTGGACTAGCCTTGGCGGCAGAAGAAAACTTATTGGCAATGTGTTTAGTTTCACCACAGTGCTTACACTTCCTATAGTTGAATGTAGCTTTAGGGCCAGGAAGTACCAGATTTGAATAGGGACCAACTTCAAGGATTCCCTTCTCATTAGTTCTTGGAGGAACGTTAGAGGATTTTGAGTCCTTAGGTGCAGCGTTCACCTTGAGCTTAGACTTAGACTTCTAAGAGGGTTCAGATTTCTTAGTCCCTGAACAAAAAGAAGGTTTACAAGCTGAAGAAATAGATTTAGATCTATTTGACTTCTTACTCTTCTTGGGAAAAGATGAATTGACAATGGATTTACCTTTGTCTTTGCAACCTGAACTCGAAGGAGTTCCATCAAGATGACTCTCAGTTAAATAAGACTAAGAGGAAGAAGTGTCAGGAATAGATTAGACAAAGGTGCCAAACTTGATGACTTGTCAGTGACACTATCTTCCTGATCATAGAAAAATCCTAGACTAGTCTTTATTTTGGCAGGGATCTGAGCATTAATGATCTATGAGGTTTTGACAGAGGCTTTGCACCATCCTTCAATGGTACTCTTCTCAGCCCTGAGTTCAGCAATTGGTTACTCACGCTCAGCTATAGCCTGTTCACATTCGGCAGTGATGGTCTGGTTCACAATGACCTGATCCTTAAGATCTACTTCGATCTTAGTCAACTCTTTGATCTTTGAATGACAAATCTTCAAATGTTCTTGAAGATCAAGATTAAGCATTTCTACTTTAAACTTGCCATTCAGGGTATTGCAAAGGTCCACCGTCAGTGTTGCTAGCCCTGATAGGCTAGAAGAAGAGGAAGAGGGTTCATTTAGGAGACATACCTAAGCAGGTAAGGATGATGAGGGATCTTGAGAAGTTGATGTCCCTAAAGTTTCTTCTTTGACATCCATGGCCATCAAGTAGATATAGATCGTATCTTCCTCATCAGATGATGATTCATCAGATGAATCAGCCTAGTCGTGCTCTTCAACGATAAGACCTTTGGCCTTTCGCTGGGAGTTCTTCATCTTCTTGTACTTCTTCTTCAGCTTTAGGTATTTGTCATCCTTAGATTTGAAGAAGGATGGGTTTTAGAAGATGGCGTCACAACCTTCTTTGACCTGCATTCACTAGCAAAGTGACCCTTGCAGTGACAGTTGTAGCAGATAAAGCCTTGTCTATATTATCAGACTTTGGCTTTTCCTTGATGGTCAGCAAAGGAGATCTATGGAAGTTACTTTTTCTGGCAAATCTCCTAAAAGATTTAGTCAAAAGCGCCAGTGATTCATCAAAATCTGCAAGATCAGATTCTGATAAATCCTTAGAGTTAGTAGAATCTAACTCAGTGATAACCACCCCTTTTTGTCCAAACCCTACAAACCAATCTCATCCATTCATTTTCTTGATCAACGGTCATGATTAAAATGTATTATATTAGGAAAGTAAAAAAAAGGTTTAATACTTAATCAAGAAAGAGCGAAATTGGTAAACTATTTTTAACTTCCTAATTTGTATTAGTTTGTAAAATAAAGAACAAGATCGTAGATATTCTAACATTAATGAAACAAAATCATAGTTTTAAAAATCTCTATATACGATTTTATCATTAGAAAGGTTTTAACCAAAAATGTTAGGATAATCTGGGATACGTTGAAGGAATTTTTTTCTTTATTTATGACTAAATATTAGAAATTAAATAACCTCCACATTAAAAATAGAGCCAACTGAGGAGCAATAAAACAAGGGATATCCTAATAAATAATGAAACATAAAAATATACTTTAATCAACAATAAAGAATGAAACATTYTGAAAACTAAATGAAATATTTTAGAAACTGAATAATTTTATTTCATCAGTGAAACTGGTGTCATGACTAAAACGTTTCGAAAACTAAATAAAATGAATTCATTCGTGAAACTGAGTTCATGTTCAATATTMAAAAAACAATTACCCTCATATTCATCTTCATTTGATTAAGMATTATTGGATTTGACAAACATTTCATTAGTGAAATTGGTTTTATGAATGAATTTTTTTTTGCAAAACAAATAATATGATTTCATTAGTGAAATTGGTTTCATCAATAAAAACATTTTGGAAACCGTATCTMATTTTTTCATTAGTGAAATTGGTCTCATTGTCCGTCTGCATAATGAAATTTGAGCCAGATATGGTTCAGTCAATAGAACATTTTCCAAAAATCTAAATAACATGTTTTCGTTAATGAGATTTGTTTCATCATTGAAATTGGTTTCGTGGACTCCACAATTCCAAAAACTAAATGACATTGTTTCAGCAGTGAAATTTGTTGAAATGTTACATAAGCAAAATGGAATCGGTTTCAGGGTTTCTAACTAAGATGAACTCAGTTTTACATATGAAACTAAATATTGTTCAGTCAATGAAACACTTCAAGAACTGAATAATAATATTTGATTCATTTTTAAATTATTTTCATGTTTCCTAACCAAAATGGAATCGGTTTCATGCTTTATAGCCAACATGAAATTGGTTTTATTAATGAAACTAAATATGGTTCAGTTAATGAAAAATTTCATGACTTGAAAACTATTATATCATTAATGAAAGTAGTTTCATGGTTCCTAACCAAAATGAAATTAGTTTCATTTTTGAAACATTTTGAAAACTGTATAACATGGTTTCATTAATGAAATTTGTTTTACGAATGAAAACAAAATAATATACTCAAAATCTGGAAAATATCACAACTATATTATTAATAAATTAGTAACTACTTGTGAATTGAAAAAAAAAATACCGATTCATTTGTTATTATCACAATGAAATAAATTATTTCATAAGAAATAAACTATTACAAATATACTTTGTAATTGATGCAGTATTTTTAATTTAATAAAAGAATATAAAATATTAATGGTAATAATTATATATTAAAATCAATTGATTTACAGTTTCTTTAAAAACAGTTACTCTATTTAATCTTTCATATTTAAAAACAATTAAAACATTACCAAGATTATCTATTACAAAGTAAAATGATATTCATACCCTTATTCATTAAAAATAAAGAGAAAACATGAAATTAGTTTATTGGTTGATGGTGGTTTCTTTTGTTTGCATGTGATAGGAGGTTTGCAAAGTAACCCCTAATATAATTTGGTCCAAGACTCTGTTCCACATCTYACATTTTGAACACCTCCCTGCTCACTAGCTATCTAGTTTGTGAGAGGAGTAATGAACAATAGAGTAATATAGTCTTTGAGGGTTTTGCCCGGAAAGGTGAAACAATCGCCGAACTTGTATACCACATCTATCRTTCGTGCAAGATTGAGAATAGGAGTAWGTAGAGCCCTTGAGACCGCCAYAGGTTTCAGGCACCCCTYGTTTATATCTTTCCATGCATTTTCGATAATCTTCTTGATCTCTTTMATGGCCACTTCTTCAGATACATCGTATTCCTTTATATAAGCATCGACGCYTGTAACTGATTGTCCTCGTTTCCTCTCGAACTRCATTTAGGTTTTAATTAATTACAACACATTAAWTCAATAATCATGATGATATATACTTGAATTTAACTGCAATTATGTGTTCTATATAAATGTGTTACAATAAGTTTATAGGATGCTAGCTTTTGGTCGTATTAAAAAGTCTTTAGGAAACTTTTGAAATAAAATGTTTTATTAATTTTTTTACATGAGGATATTTGAAAAAGTCTTAAATAAAATATGTGTTAATAAGACACTTTTTAGAAGTAATCTACTATATAAAAAAAGTTAATAAGACATTTAATTTTAAAGTGTGCTAAAAACTTTAGAAGACTTACAAATTTACTGTAACACTTTATATGGGATGCACGATTGTTTGGTTTTATAAACATAAGTTTTGTAAGATGGTATATGTTAGGATAGTAATTAGACATATTTTTTGCATTCTATAAGCTCAATTATATTATAATGAGGGGTAAGTCGTACCTGGAAGGTCATCACATCGTCTTGTAGTCTTGAAATTAACCCGGAAGCTTTTAGAATTTTCGGATGTGTTTCATACCAAGCAAGAGCGTTTTCATTCGCAATTGCACCCATACCCACCAATGCTGATTTTGAAATCACGTTGTAGGCCGAAGTAATTAACCCGTTCTTCATATACTCAGGAAATGTAGGCACGTAACCTTTGTGTAACCACTCAGCTTCTTCAAGGTACCCCCTCGCTATTTCTTGAAACTAMTTGATAATACATTAAAAAWTTTRAAMTTCATTAGTAGATCTCATKTATACAAAAGTTACCAATAGCCAAATTAAATAAGAGCATCTCCAATGGAAGGTTGTTAAACATGGTTGACCGATTCATAAATTTTTATACAAWTGGGGGAAAAGACGGTACAGGTCGACATGAAAGGGGAGATTGAGGCTTATAAACATACACGGGTTCTTCATCAAAATAGTTAGTAATCATAATAATAAATAAAATTTAGGAAAGGGTCCGTTCATGATTGAGAGTAGAAGTTTAGTTAAATGTATAGGAAAAAGAAATCTGATGTGACAAGTTCATGATCGGAGATACTTTAACACAACTATATAGGTGGCTAGATGAAATCATACTGCTTGTTTTGAAGCATGGACATTGTATGCTCTTCCTTCGTTTGTGTATTCTTTCTCAAGTTTATCGTACTCGTTCAAAAGAATTCTGTAGAACGGTTTGATATACTTAGGAAGTTGATCGATCGCCCCAATTTCCCACCTAAAGTTCGATAAAAAATAGCTAGTTTGATATGAATTCATGATTTTTAATTAATATATATATATACACACACACTAAAGCTTGAGATTGTAATGCATATATATTGAAAGAGAGAACATATACGTATTTATTGCATCTGTGATAATCCGGATCTCGTCAATCGTAGCGTATGCATCATACGTGTCATCTAAAACCACGAGGAACAAGGTGATTTTGGTCACTATGATTCGTGCCTGAGAGTAACAAGGCTCCAGATATAACCCCAAAATCCATAGGTATATCTCCGGTACTCGATCTCTTATGTAAGGGAACAAGCTTTGAAATTTCATATCTTTCCACCACCTGGTCACACAAATTATACATGTTTTTCTTTGAACACGATGTAGTTGTGTATATATATATATAGAGAGAGAGAGGAAAGTTTAAATTAGAAAAGAAAAAAAATGCTAACTACATAAGAATAAATTATTCATATGTGAATTTACTGGTTATTCACAAATGAAGTTGCATATGTGAATGCATTTTTTTATAAGTATATAATATTTATATAAGGCAAATAGAACAAAAAAACTCACACCCCCTCCTCACCTTTGATGAGGTTTGAATATCTGACCTCCTAGGAGGCCAAAGACTTGCATACTGCTAGGCCAAAAGACCTTTTTTTTACCAACGATTCATGGACGAACCATTTATTCTTATATTCTCAACATTTTATCCTTCTTATTTAATCTTTTTATATATAATAAATACATAGAGAATGCCATGATCCTAAGAAGGATATATGGCAAGTTCTCAATCCYATTTCTAGTAAATTTGCAAAATTACAACTTACTGAGAGACGATACGTAGTTCTTCCTTYTGCAGTAGTTGCAAATAGTTGAAATTGACTTTAGCAAGTTYTATTATCGATTCRTCACTCRAAGATTCTTCTTTGTATGTGCTAAAATAAAGCCTCGCTTCTACCATTGGCATCCCATTRTGGAAGGGTCTCTTAAGGACTTGATTCACTTGTCGTGCTAGATTTCCCTTCAACGTGCACGYTATTTYCTTTAATCGAGTCTSAGTGAATTCCAAAGCTTCATCTAAGATATCTTCTCCTTGTAGCCTCAAGTATGYCGATTCATATAATCCCAACATACCCTTCACATCGCTCATAACATACTCCTTGAATGTACCGGTACTATTGTCTTTGAATTTGCTAAACACATMTGCATAATCATGCAAACACATAAGTCAAGTTTATTAGGATTAGCTTTACAATTTTTCGAAACAGTACAACGAAATCGGGTTTATTATAAGATGTCTAAAATATCTAAGTGTCCTAATAGAATACTTTATAGTAATTACGTTTCTAGGTCCAAATGCTTGTGCTCCTATGTAAAAGCGTTGTAAYAAGTTTGTTGCATGTCGATGAGTGTTTTAACATATTTTTAGACACTTTTAAAATAAAATATTGTATTAACTGTAACATTTTTTGAGAAATGCCCTACTAATATGTCTTTTTATATTAACACATCATTTTATAGGACACTAGTTTTTATAATATATTTTTGGGAAAATTCTAAAAAAACCCAATGAACTCTAGTGTTTGGAATGATTAAGTCCCTGGAAATTTTTTTGAAACAAATATGTTCTTGGACATTTCAAAACATGTTAAATAACTCACTAGACTTTCTAAAACCTGTTAGATACATTTTTATAACCTATACAACTAGTTAATGTGGTAAAATAATGAAAAAAAAAACTAATGAACTTTCATATTTTGAACGATTAAATCCCTAAACAATTTTTTGAACCAACATAGTACTTAGATCTATAAAAATAAACAAATATACCAAAAAATTACTTACATTTACGAAAACATTACTTACATTTAAAAAAAAGAGTATTGATAAAATTTCTTTTAATTAAAAATAAAATATATTCTTTCAGTGATTTTTCAAACTAAAAAAAATATTTAAA